AAATAAAAGGTACACTAGTTCAATTTTCATGGAACAGTTAGCCACTCATCGGAGTCGCAGCAGAACAGACAGAAAGAGTGCCTCAAAACGTGCATGAGAACCATCCTAATGCATGCTCTATGTAGTTGAATTCTATGTAAAATTCGGAAAAAGGGTTGTTGTAGCTTCAATATAATAACATAAGAAATATTTGTTACTTGTTGAGCATGGATCTATTGGTTTTGGCCCTTTAGCTCATTCTTCATTGTCTATATTCAACAAACTTTCAGGAGGTGAGAAAGTTAGCTTGGAAGTGAGCAGCCAATGGGATTTTTTTGTAATGAATGATGATGATGATGATGATGGTAATGAATGATGATGATGATCATTATCATCATCATCATCATTCATTACCATCATAATCATAGAGCACAGAAATATAAACTGTATGAAAAATCAACTTTCGATGTTATATGAGCAAGCTGCTGGGACTGGGAATGATCTTGGTTGGTGTCCTTATTAATGCACATGTAGACCAAGACCCTTTCCAGTGGTCCCAAAATTTGTTCAACAGAGTATTACTGTTTGCAGATTCCTTTTTAAGGTTATTGCATTTATGAGTTGATGGAATCTGTGGGGACCTTATAGAATCGTGTCCTCATGGGCTCTTACAACTGTCAGTATAAATATGAGCTAGTGTCTGTACTCCAATCTCCACCAAGTTCCAGAGTCCCTCACTCTTGCACCTTAAAGAAACCCTTCTTGTTCTCCTTTGGAGATTAGAGAGAGAGAGATTTGTGAACTTTGAAAAGTTTCCATAAATGGGCAGAAGTCCTTGTTGTTCAAAAGATGGCATGAACAGAGGGGCATGGACGGCTAAGGAAGACAAAATTCTTATCGAGTACATTAAGGTTCATGGTGAAGGGAAATGGAGAAACCTCCCCAAAAGAGCAGGTGAGCTAGCTGATAGCTTTGTAAATACACAGTACTTGTTCTAAATCATGTTGTGGGCGTTGGAATGTGAAGTTGGTTTATTAATGGTTTTGAACAATATGTGCAAACCATTTTTTGATGGCTCCATGCAGGTCTTAAGAGATGTGGAAAGAGTTGCAGACTTCGTTGGTTAAACTACTTAAGACCTGATATTAAGAGAGCAAACATTACTCAGGATGAAGAGGACCTCATTATCAGGCTTCACAAGCTCCTTGGAAACAGGTTCTTCATTTTATTTTTCTTTAAAAAATTTCAACACAAGGTACTGGATGCTAGAGTTTCAATTGTTAGTACATCGAGCTCCCAAGTTTGAGCCTCACAAAAGACATCTTGATTGTCTCGGTTCATTTGGTTTGTGGGTTATTGCATGCATTATTGGTAGGGACAACTCTCAGTTATTAAAAAAAAAAAAATCCCAACAAACCAAATGAATAAGATATAGTAATTCTGTGATTCAGATAGCACTACACATGCTTATTGACAGGTTTACATGGTGTATTTGCAGATGGTCTCTGATAGCGGGAAGGCTTCCTGGGCGAACAGACAATGAAATCAAGAATTACTGGAACACAAACATTGGCAAAAAAGTCCAAGGTCATCCCAATAACTCCACAAATCAATCCAAACGAAACCCCAGTCAAAGCATGGGTCAATCATTATTTGGCCAGCCACCCTCACCAACAATAGGATCACATGTTGTTCGTACCAAGACATCTAGGTGCACCAAGGTTTTCATCAATGCAGAGCCACAGGAAACTCAACATCTCCATAATAAGCCGGTGGTTGCACCGCTGCCCACAGTTAAAGACACAGTTATTGACAGTACTGCTGTGATTTCCGATCAACTTTCTGGGTTACCGGAGTTTATTTTCAATGAAGATAATAACCAATCTGACCCTATGATGGATTTTGAGATAGAGAAATTTCTATCAGACGTTCTTGACTCTGAACTTGCACCAGTGTGTGAGTTTGACATTGGGGTGGTCAAAGGTGGTGATACTAGCAGCAACACAACTGAACAGTGCAGCTACTCATCTCCTAATTCTGATCAAACTGTGGTGTGCACTGAAGATATGTTGCGTAATTCGGATCTTGGATCGATGGCAACTGCTCTTGATCCTGAAGTGGATTGGCTTCAAGATTAGAGAGAAAAATAATAATTGGTGAAATATAGTTTCTTACGACACTTTGGTCGGTGGCTTCTAATTATCCTGTCCATTGTTAACAGTTTCGTGTAAATCGCTGAATGAAAGGTGGACAATTTTACATGGGTTATTATCTCTCTCTTTTAATCTGCCCTATTGCCTATATGACCACATTAGAGGAAAATAAATCAAATTGCTTTTGATTCCTGTCCTTATCTCTTGTTTCTTTCAGTTGTTCACGATTGTCTGGAAAGAATCAGTTCACTTGATGTTGCCAACCTAGGTAGTCACCCTTGTACTCCAAAGGAGGAGGTTAGAGGTCAAAATCAAGAATTGATCTCTTACGCGTCCCTCTTGTTATACTTTTTTTTAAATCATTTTTTAAGAGAAGTTCTATCATACTCCAGTAAGTCATTCAGGTTTCATTATATTGATAAATTAACATTAATCTATCTTGAAATAATGTGAAAACGAAACCCGATCTCAAGTTAACGTAGAAGTCAAAAGTTTCAAGATTAACGTTACATAATTTATTATTTTAATAATATGGCAGCCGACATAATTTAATAACATAACACTAACTATTGTTGTGTGTCGGATTTTTTTTTTTTTTTTTTAAAATAATTTTACGTGACACATTATTATGTCAAAATATTATACCAATTTTGTAATTCTCAAAAAAGTATTATTCAAATGGAAATAAGATGGGTTAGAACACTTTTGTTATCAAAAAAAAAAAAAAAAAAAAACAAAGGATCGGCAGCCATGTGCATAAAATAAATGCCAGGTCAAAAATGACATGCTGCCATAAAGACTCGTTCCATAATATACATGATGTTGGTGGTATCCAAACCAAAGGGACCTTTGTGACATTTATTTTGGTCCCTCACCTAGTCCCTGAAATAAACACCCATATCTACCCAACTTTGGGTCCATAGTTGAAGTAGGAACCACCTACCTATTAAGACTTTGTGATAACAGAACAAGAGTAATATTACGTTGATCAAATTTTAGAATTAAGTTTAGTGTTTAAATGACATGACAGTTAATTTGAACTTCTTTATTTGGTGTTATATCATTTGGGACCCCAATAAAAGTTCGAAATAACATATTGTCATGTCATTAGAATTTTAAATTTAATTTTAAAATTTAGTTAGTGTAATATTACTGATAAAACAATATATTTGTTAATAAATGACTTGTATTTCAAGTATTACAATAAATAATGATACGAGTTTGTTTTATACACAAACTCTTGAAACTCTTTTTCAAGTGAATGACTATTCACTAAAAAATCTAATTTGAGGCTGCTTGGATTAGTTGAAAAAGTCCAACACGTGATGGACTTTTTTAATGGTGATTTTTACTTTGAAGATGTAGTACTCAAGTTGGATGGGATTTGTCTTTTCCAGTAGCACACGTTGATTTCCGTCTTCTCTAGGAACACGTAAAAACGTTGACGCCAAAGGTGATAAATTGAGATTTTGTGCTATCTGGTTTTGGGTTCTCTTCGGAAAAATTAATCTTGGTTGATTGAAGATTTTTTGGGCACTATTTATTTATTTAGAGTAACGTTATTGGAACTTAATTTATTAATCTAATTTATCATAATTTTTGGATTAATTGTGGAGTTCATTAAATATTAAAATTTGATGTTAATCCAATAATTCTACTAAAATTATATTATTATGTCAATAAATTAAGTCAAATTTTTATATCTAAATAATATTACTCATTTATTTACTATAATAGTGTGATAAAGTTGTGACGTTCTCTCTGGTTGCTTTTGTTTATCGAGAACGTTAAGTGTTGCCGGTGTATTTCGTTTATGGATGTAGAAGTGTCCATGGGGCGGGTTGAGTTTAGGTAGTGTGGGTCCGAGTCCTTAACCAAGTGAGTTATCAGGAGGGTTGTATCGGGCTTCGTGCAGGTGTAGGCTACCCGCAGCTCAACCCGCGAGTTTATTGTGCGGGTCTGTTTGCACGTTTTTTTATATATATAACTTCATTTAAAAATAATGAATATTTTTGTAACTTAATATTTGTGTAAATTATATTTTTGAATAAAAAATAGAGTCAAAATAGATAAAAATAAAATAATGAATTAAGGAATGAACTTCATCTAATAGAATGAATACATCTCAACTAAATTGACACCTACTCACTTATCTATTATTTGTATTATTTTATTTTTTAAAACTTGTGTACTTAATACATGAAAAAAAAAAAAACATTATTTATAATATCTAAATTTTTAAAATTTCAAATTCTGACATTGAGAGACTTATTTCAAAGTTTTAAATTTATTGGTTTAAAAGTATAAAAGAAGGGTGGGCGGTCTCTTGGGCCGGGTTTTAACGGATTTTTTTCGGGTAGACTATTGGATTGGATTTCGGGCCAGGTAATGGGTTTGAGGACAAATCCAAACCATATTTTTAAGAATATTGCGCTCGGGCATGGACCGGCTAATTATTAGGTTATCAAGTTTTGGGCCTATTTTTTTCTAGTCAGGTAACGGGACCCGTGGATAATCCGACCTATGGGCACACCTAGATGTAGGCTTTGCTTGTTGAGTTGAGTCACGTAAATCTTATGTGTTATATTTTTTTTATTTCGTTATGTTTTATTTTGCTTGTGTCTTTGATTCATAACAATATTTAATTTATTGATCTAATTCAATATAGTTATTTGATTGACTATGAATCACATTAAATATTTAAAGTTGGTGTTGATCTAACAGTTATAATTAAACAACGACATTAGTTTAGCAAAGGAAAATGATCAATAAACTTAAAAAACCGAATTAAAAACTTGATTTGATGAATCGTTACTATTGAATAAATAGTGAATTTCAATAAATACTGGAAATCACAGTTAAATCAATAATAAATATAATAACCACATCATCAAGTCAATTTTTTAAGTTTATGTAGAATTACTCGATTAACAAATTAGATCATATTTTTGGATCAAAATAACATTACTCTCCATAATATATCCAAATTTGAGATTTAGAACTTGTCATAATTCCACAGATCTCCATTCTTAGTCAACATACATGCAAAACACTTTTCTTTTCATGTGATCATCGGTGAATATTTGTTTGACCTCGTTTACTATCAATTTGAACAAATGTTGTCCTTCTAATTGATGTAGGATAACGCTTGCAGAAAGATTTAATACAAATTTACGAGGCGGGGGAAGGGGAGCAAGAAAGATAATATAAATGTCCAACAATTTTAATTAATATAATATTATTCTATTCTTATGTCTATTTCATTCCTACATAAATGCATTACTGCGTACCAAGCGCAGCGTTAGAGTTCAGACTCTCTACTATGCAACATCTCTGTTGTACAACACAAGATCTGTTTTTGTGTAATCTAATTTGCATTGAACTCATTAATGTGATTTTCCTATACCTAAAAGTCTCATGTAACTTTCATATGGCCAATAGAAAGTCTCATGTAACTTTCACATGGCCAAAAGAAGTGAAATGTCCCCAATATTTTTGCAGAAAAAAGTTTCAAATTCAATGATAAAATTACAACCATTGTGGACGCAAATTGAAAAGTGCTACCAACCCCTTTATGCCTAAATGTTGGAACTTTTGAAACTTTCCCTCATTACTCGATGGCCATTTCATAACAAAATTTAATTAGATGTTGACATGATATCTTAAGGAATAAAAACTATCACAAGAAACAATGTTCATCCCGTGTTTATTGTAATCAAATGTTTTAATGACTGAAAAGAAATAACTCTCAATTGTATGAAATAATCCAAAGTTGTTTTACCCCTAATATTTACAAGAATTTATATAATAGCAGAAACCCTAAAAGAACTAGAAAACTAGGATTTTAAATAAATTACGAAATTAAATAAAATAAAATTTTAATTAAATTATAAAATAACATAAAAATAATTTTCTACTAAAATTAGAAAATAAAATAAATTTTTTTAAAATTTCCTATTGAACGGCACTGATCACGTTCAAATAAATTACCAAAATTCTGACCATCTGTACTGCATCAAAATAGCACATATGGATCAATCACACGGTAACATCCTCCAACCCGGTGTTTGCTCCTTTTCACTTTCTTTGCTAGACGAGAAGATGGGAATCGCGAAGGAGTGTCTTAATTGACTCGATATTCGTAATTGCATATAATTTTATGAATCTTAAATTACCTAAGGGTATCTCCAAGAGGAGAGAATACTCATTACAACTATGATACCACATGATAATGTGACGTGGTATCACCTATTAATAATATTAAAATAAATAAAAAAATGGACTCTACAAAAATTTTTAACCAACTTGTTATGTAAGCAAAAATTTTCTCACCCTTCCTCCATGTAAGTTCAAGTGGGGTTCACTTTATTTACTTAGGGTTTTATTATTGGTTGGTAATACCATGTCATCAATGGTGATATGGTATCACTATTGTATTCAATATTTCCTCATAAAGACTTTAAATTTTAGTTATTTTGCCCTAAACTTGGAATGGAAACATGTCTTGTTGTGTTACATTTGTTTCGTTGATGATTTACCCACGAAGTTTTTTTTTTAAAGATCAATTTACTTCTTTTCTCAAATATACTATTGATCAAATTTTAAATTTCTACCCTTGTTCTTCTCTTCCTTTTAATATGTCATGCCAGTACTTAATCAAAGTGTGTTAGGACGACTTTGTCCACAATCTATTTTTCCCGTAAGAATGTAAGTGAATAAAAGAGACAGTTGACTCGTAAACTCAAATTCTAAAATCATTGATAAGGGTATTTGACTAATAATATAGAAAGTCGAGGCTCTAGGCAAAGTTACAATCAACTCTTTGCCGGTAGATTTAAGTGGTGGTGTCTTATTTAGTTTATTTGTATTTCAGAAAGTCGGGCCAATCAGTTGCCTTCCTTCATGTATTTCCTAAGCTAAGGAATAGAAGTACCATTGCGGACCGGTCGGGCCATAAGACCGAGACCAAAAGTATAAAATGTCCATCACGGCCCACTGGGCCATAAACGTGGGACCAAAGGTAACTCATGCGTTGCCCATCGGGCCTAGTTGCAGATCCAAGAAAGAAATGGAAGTAGAAATCACAGCTCTGGAAGTAGAAATTTGTGGATCAATTCAATTCCCATTCGTAAGCAAAGAAGGTTTTGTTTCTTGAGACAATCAAAGACTGACGATGGCTTCGGAATCTCCAAGTGCTGCTCGTAAAGGTCAGTCTTGTTATTAGGGTTTGTGAATTAATCGGAGTTCTTAATTAGGCCTCTAATCTCTGTTAATCTTTCGCTTAATATGATGCAGTCGTTGTTCACCTAAGAGCCACTGGGGATGCCCCAATTCTCAAGCAAGCCAAGTTCAAGGTTTTCTTTTTGAAAAGCTTATTTAGTGTTTATGATGTTCTAATTAAACATCTAATATTGCTAGAATACATGTTCATTATGTTCAATTCGACAAATTACGGTTGAATTTCAGTTTAATTGTCGAATTATCCACTATAGAGATTGCAGCATTTGATGAAGATTTGAAAAGAACAGTTTTTCCTTTTATTCTGCGTTTTTCCCTTTTTCTTTTGCTTGGGTTTTAGTAAGTGTTTGGCGTTGAAATTTGATGATACGTGAATAACTATCTGAAAGTGGAGTGAACGGGAGGCTGCAAAGAGTGCGATTCCCTTTTTTCAATAGTAGTTGTCTCTCCCCATCTGATCCTCTCGATTCTGACTCCTTTCCTTTTTAAAAAAGAGTCCAGTCCTGTTCTTTCTTGAATGTGGAATCGTTTTAGATTGTACTCAAGTGAAAGGTTGTCCGTACGTTATATTATAAATAAGTCTTCGTCTTCGTCCTCGTCCTACAAAATACTTAAAGTTCGTTTCCTTACCTTATTAACAAAGTAGACGAATCACTCTGTTTCTCTATTATAAAAGTGGACTTCAACTAAGTATGAGGTCAAGAAGCGAGGTCAGACAAAGAGGTTAGACAAGGTCAAATAAGGAGGTTAGACAAGGTTAGACAAGAAGGATAGATAAGCAGGTCAGGCGGAGAGCTCAGAGCTTTGATGCCCAATTTCCGAGCTCCTCTCCGATGAGAAATCAGAGGAGCCAAGGAAAGAACAGTTGGTTAGTAAGAATAGTCCACCGAACATCTAAAGGACAATGATCAAGGCGTGAAACTTTCAACCACCCAAGATCCCCTCCTAAAATTAAGGAAAGTCCCGCAGATGAAGAGAAAGGATCTCGTTGCAGATCCCTTAGAGATACAAATTGTGCTATAAATACTGTACAGTGCCTCCTTGAGAGGCAACAAAAACCCAATACCACCGATGATACTTTGTAAATCATATCTACCATGAATAAAAATAAAAGAAGCAGGAGACTCTTTTGAAGAGTGGATTAACCGGGCTCACAAGCCGGTGAACCACTATAATTGTACCTCGTTTTACTTCCAAGATTCCTCAAAAAGAAACCCTGTCGTTGTATGCATGAGTCTTGTAGCTCAGGCCCACACTTGTTTGTATCATCCACGAGTTCTATTCATCTCTTTGACCACACCATTAAAATTATTTTGGCAAATGCATATTATTTAATTTTGTATGTAATCTATTGACGGCACGAGCGGAGAAAATATTCATTACAATGGTGATACCTCATGACAATGTGACGTGATATCACCTACCAAAAATATTAAAACAAATAAGCAAATGAACCCACAAAAATTAATAACCAACTTACTATGTAAGCAAATGACTCTCTACTCTTATTCCATGTAAACGGGGGTGAAATTATTATTATTTGGTGATACTATGTCATTAAAAGTGACGTGATATCACCGTTTTTTATTATTAGTTGGTAATATCATGTCATTCGGTATTTACTCGCAAGAGTGGTGTCAAGTAGACTCAAAGTCTCTTGTTTCCTCTTTTTCTTTCTTCCCTTAATTTTTCCTTTTGTATATGTTTCATTTACGGGTGTCAGCACTCTTATTCTGGAAGATCTCTGAAGCATTCTGGCATTTGCTTTGCTGTTGCCATTCGAGTTTTTAGTGTTTGCATCTAAGGCGAAAACCTAAGTCATATGCATAACTGTAAATCTATGTATAGCATGGCTGCAAGCAATGCTTCACGTTTACTTATCATCAACTTCGAGATTCCCCATGATTGATGGCGAAAAATTCTTTTATATTTAGCCCTCCAAAATTCTCTGCACTGCCAGAGTGGACATAATATGGAGTTGGAAATGAATGATAATGTAGCAGGTTGGATTACTGAAGTTTTATGGGGTTGGGTAATATTAGTGCCATTGGTTTTTTTTATATCCATGACTATTTTGTTTCTCTTTCAAAAAGCACAGTAGGCAATGCTGAATATCACTACCATTTTCTGTGCTAATGTGTAATATACTATTTATTTGGCAGATTGCTGGGACTGACAAGTTCATTAAAGTGGTTGATTTTCTTCGCCGCCAACTTCACAGGGAGACATTGGTAGATGATTATGTAATTGTGTCATTTGAAAATGCATATTTACATAAGATTTTGGTTCACTGACATCCTTTTTATTGCTTTCCAAGTTTGTGTATGTCAACAGTGCCTTCTCACCAAATCTAGATGAATTAGTGATCGACTTGTATAATGTAATCTCTCTCTCTCTCTCTCTCTCTATATATATATATATATATTATATACCTATATGAATATGTATAGAAGTTTTTGTTATTATATCTATTGAAACTTGCCTCTTTTACTAAAAAAAACATTGGAGGATATGTATACTGATAGGTCTAAAAAATATTCAGGTGATTATCCAACTCAAGCTCCGTTTTTGTTATGCTAGATGTGTATGTGTTGTACGTAAAAGATGCATTCTAAAGAATGATACCTGTGTATATGGTCTGTTCCATGTTGAAAATTATGCTGAACGAGACATTGCATGTTCAGTATATCAGGAGCCCGTCATTAGTGTGCCACACCTACATATGAGCAAAAGCTGGACAGTGAATAACTGGAGAACCTTAAACACAACACAACTTATCTCCTGGGAGACTGACTTTCAGTAGAGTAGTACCCAGCTCAATATCAGAGTTAGAAACAGTAATGAAGTCGCAACTTTTCCAAAAGCTCTGCTTGGTTTGACATCTGAGTCCCAAAACTTGAATTGTTCAATTGTATCTCGTCCTTAAGGACCATGTGCTCATTTCCACTGGGTCATGTGCCAATTCTGAGTAATCAAACACCAAATATTTCATTTTCACACGGGTGTGTATGTATTATAATTCTTATCAACTATTGTGTTTTCTCTAATTCAAGTTTGGGAAGGTGATTGGGAATTGCGGATGCCAGAAGTTTTGCACTACAGTTTTTTTATGCAAGGACAGGACTATAAATCATTATTCCTTACTTTCTTTTAAAGAATTGAATGATCTGGTTACTTTTGAATGTGAACATGGAGATTTGCTTTGGATGAAATTTGTTCATGCGCCTTCCTTGATGATTCTCTTTGTTTTGTCAAAAAAGCAGTTGGATCCCTGGTCATTTTTGTGCAAATTCTCATAATGTACCCCTGACCACTTGTGCAGATTCTGCAGAAATATTAAATATGATTCAGCCCCCCCAAAAAAATTGTGTTATGTAACTTATGTTGATTTTGTACTTATTCTGTCCTGATTTTGGAATTACATAGGGAGCCGTTAGTTTTTATTGGTAGGTGAGAGTGCAATACTTCAGTTGGATTATATCATTAACTTTTAGCATTGTATAGCTTGTTTTTGTTATTGTACTTCTGCATTTATTGTGGTGCCTGTTTTTTTCTTCCCCTGATATTTATTGTTGCTACTTTAACATTGGCAGAATTTTGGATTTGATGGTAAACTGGTGGTCAATTATGCTTGTTCCATGGCCTGGGGCTAACTGTTACAATTGATGGATTAGGGGTATACATCTGTAGAACTGCTTATTTGGTGAGTGCATTCGCAAGTTTTTGTCTGATACTAATTTCCACATTGTAAAAGTTGTGGACTCTAACATTCTACTCAGTTCTGCATCCTTTCCCTCCCTTTTGGATCTGTTTAGTTATTATTTAATAGATGGCACTATTAGCTTCTAAGCAGTGAATTTGATCCAAAATTTGCCAGTTATTGTACTATATTTGACCTATTAATCATTTCCTAGAATTGTATGGTAAATGTAGTTATCCATGCAATCAATCCTTTGATAGATAGGAATGTTGAGTGAGTTTTATTGAATTACATCGTGGTATTTCTGTTTGTTTTTAACCCCTTGTGTTTCCAATAGGAGTATTTGTTTGAATGATAGGAAATGCAGCATAGTTTAACCACTTGAGTGTTTGAAATGGAATTTGAAAAGAAATTTTGTTTAGGCAAAACAACACCAATTTTACCATCATGAAATTTTCTGCATGCCTTATCAAACTTGGTATTCTTGCAAAAGAGCCTGCTTGCTAATCATGTGATTCGTCTATTTGTGATTTGCGCAGTCAGGTTAACAACTCGGTTTGTCGGTGTGGCTAAGTAAGTTGGTGGTGATGATTTTGTAGAATTTCTGCATCAAGGAGCCTGCATGTGTATAAGATTGGTGATATGCAATTCCACATAATCAAGGGAACATGGGTATCGTGCAGATTGAAGATTCTGATGTACGAGAATTTACGTAACAAGACTTGAAAGCAAAACTTTCGGACCTGATGCTACAATTCCTTTGCTTCTTTAATTGTTTCTCTATTTTTCTTGATACCAAACTTCAACTAACACATCAAATGAACAAGCCTGTCTATGGGTTGAGACAACAAAACATGTATTACTTCATTCACTTTTGAGTAAATAAAAATTGTATTACGTGTATATGGAATGCTAAGAAATCAGGATATTCATCTCCATATATTCACCTTCATGTGCGATGCCATCCATTGCTATTGGGTTGTGCTGGGCAGTGGATTGGCATGTGATTATGCATTTTTTTGGAAATTTTTCTGTGTTACCCACTTTCGGTTAGGTGGGAACATTTGACTCTCTGCATCCTCCTCTACTTTTAATGTCTTTCAGTTTTGATAGTGCATTCAAATCTGAACACTTGAAAAGCTGTTGGGATGCATTAATATTCGGGTAATGTTATACTTCCCAAATTTTTTTACCAAATTTTCATCTCAAATGACGTAGTACAGTTTTTGCTATTAGATAAGTTAATATTTAATGACGGATGTGCGTGCAAGATCCTGCACAATATAAAAAACGAGAACAGATCTCTCCCTTGGTGAACTTGAGTGAGCCGGTTAAGTGATCAAACACGCTACCTAGAACAGCCTGCGAGATCCGGTGGTAACTTGGAACGGCAACGGGAGACCTTGGAGGAGCGGAAGGAACGATCCAGTGAGGCTGAAAGAAGATCTTGGAACAAAGAAGAACAAGTTAGAAGGGCGCCGGAGTATTTTCCGGCGTATCCCCTCCGACGATCTAGTTAGTCTTTGAGAGAGAGAGAGAGGAAGGAGAAAACACTGAGTGTGTTGTGTGTATTGTAGTAGAGAGTTTGTTGTTACATACCCGCTTTGCCTTTTGCAAGGAGTATTTATACCTTAAAAGCTCATAATTGCTGTCAGTGTGGTCAGTAGGTGATCATTAGGCACAGGTAGCGTGTGCATTGATTCTGATGAGGAATGTCTTCTCTAATTAACTGCTCGGGGTCCCGAGCAATTAATGCTGGGTCGTCGGGATGCTGACGGTACAATGTGCTCCTCTTGGGGAGGATGCAATAAATGCTCTGTAATAGGAGCATTTATTGCCTTTCATTTCCGAGCCTTACCGCATTGAATGCGGTCTCATCAAGGGAATGATGCAATTAATTGTTTGCTTTCCCAAGTCGCGTGTCAGCAACGGCATGCGGTTTGTCTGTCTCTGATGTGATATCATATGCCACGCGTTCATCCCCTATTGGCTGTGACCTCTGTATTCCAATACGTTCTGACATTACTTCTGTAAGACGAGGTCATGATGAATAGCCTAGACTAACCTAGGCTAATGACCTGTACGTCAATAGCTTATCCTGGAGTAGAGGAAGCGTCCAGGACGGGGTATCTCTCGGCACCGAGGAAAGGCTCATCTCGGGGACCGAGGGAGGTATGCCGACCGAGGTACATATCTGACCGAGGACACGTGTCGGTTGTAAAATATACTGAATGTATGATCCTATATGACGGTACCTCGGGGGCGAGGACATTCGTACGCCGATGATACTTGATATTAGCAACAGTGTTTTAGTAAAACCGAGGACACGTGTCTTCATCATAGGGTATTTCAGAAAAGTCCCATCAACTGCCCCCCAGCCTTCGATCTTCTGACACCGAGGACACGCGTTGTAAGGAGACGAAGGGTTTCCCAACTACCACCCATCCTTCATCATTGCCTCGAGCCGCTTTCCCCGGCTTGGGATGTCGTGCACATTTAATGCGTCGTTTCGTTTCTCGTGTCCAATGATGAAAATTGCCTCTATATAAAGGGGGCTCCTCTTCCGTTTTCCTCGTTTTGCCATTTCGAACTTCCTCAAGAGAGCCTCTTCTTGAATCTTTGCTGGAGTTTTGTTTCTTCTTCCATCGTCGACTGCCTGTTCTTCCTTAAAATCTTAAAGCTAGCAGACCCATCGTTGATTCTGAACTTTCTGGAGGGAGTCGCTTTAAGGTTTTCCAGAAAAAACTCCGTTTTGACATTCGGGTGAGTTTTAGAATCCTCTTTCTTTTCTTCCTTCTAGCCTTTTGTTTTCCGATTGACTGGAGGTGTCATCCGGTCGATACATAGCAATTTAACCCTCGGGAAACCTCCTCAGGGATTTTTAAGAACAAATACCCTCTTCTTTCTTACTTTCTTAGAGATGCCTCGTCGTCGCCCTGCTCCCGAGAATTCTCAGGCTGGTCCTTCGGGGTCGGGGAAATATAAGGTAAAAGGCGATGAGCAGATCAATAGGTTTAGGGCCAAGTACGACATTCCTCCGTGCGTAGACGTAGAGGATTTTGACCCGGTGGTGCACTCTTCTACCCTCGGGGCCGAGGATGCCATGCCCTTCTATACTAAGGTCATAATAGAGGGAGGAATTAGGTTTCCTTTACCCCCTTACTCCTTCAGTTCCTTTCTCATTTTCGCCTCTTCCCCGGGCAATGTTGCCTTAATGTCTTCCGAATAATCATGGGGGTCTTAGAGATCAATAGGCGCCTCGGGGTAAATATTGGGCTCAACGACCTCCTTTTTTGTTATTCCCTCCTGAGAGTCATGCCTCACCAACACTTCTACCTCAAAGCCAGGGACCCTTCCATGTACCTTGTAACTCATCTTTCGGACTCGGACAAGGGGTACAAGGATGATATTCTTATCTTCAAGGGATCTTGGCAGAGAGGTGTTGGTCCCGAGTATAATGACTTGTTATGCCCTCTGGAATAGAGAACGACAAGTACGTCGGTTCCTTTAGGTTTATTATTTCTTTCTCCAGACTTCCCATGCTCATGACTATTTTGTTTGTGCAGATATTCCTGCTCGGGAAACAGCTCCTCCCCCTTGGTCGCTGGTGAACTTTGCCGACCTAATCACGGTTTGGAGATTCACGGGTGACAACGGGTTTGGCCGTGCCTATTTTGTTTGTGCAGATATTCCTGCTCGGGAAACAGCTCCTTCCCCTTGGTCGCTGGTGAACTTTGCCGACCTAATCACGGTTTGGAGATTCACGGGTGACAACGGGTTTGGCCGTGCCGCTAGTGGGTACCTCCTCCTTTGAGTGCAAGGGCTTATATGCGAGGGGGGGAGACGACTCTCAGTCGATGTGGGACGTAGCTCCTGCGGGCACTGAGAGGTAAAGGCTACTGGGGGGTCGCCCGCGTGGGTTAACCCAGGTCAAGCCGAAATCCTTAGTAGAGGGTTCTACCCCTCACAGAAAGGCGCCTTTTTTGTAAGGGGTAGAAATCGCTACGGATCTCATCCCTCCACTTGAAGGATTCCGGCTGACCTGGCGACACCGAGCCCCAGTAGCCTTTACCTCTCTTCGCCAATAGGACCCTTTTCTAAGGCAATCCCACATCGGAAGAGAGTCGTCTTTCCCCCTGCCATATAAGTGAACACTTCCTATGGAGGAGGTAGGAAGTGTTCACTTATATGGCAGGGGGAAGGACGACTCTCTTCCGATGTGGGATTGCCTTAGTAAAGGGTCCTATTGGCGAAGAGAGGTAAAGGCTACTGGGGCTCGGTGTCGCCAGGTCAGCCGGAATCCTTCAAGTGGAGGGATGAGATCCGTAGCGATTTCTACCCCTTTACAACAGAGATTATACCACATAATTTGAAATATGAAAGATTTAGAAACCAGCAGGTTTGGTTGCATCTGGGGCCAATTGAAATAAGCAGCGGGTTCTAGAATAAATGGTCACAAAGAAATTGTAATGCAGAAGATATCACATGAAAGGAGCAGATTACAGTACCAAAAATATGTATCGGTACCACCGTACCATCCAATGTTTGTAAATGATTCTTAAAATTATTATAATTGATTTTTTAAAGTTGTAAAAAAATCACCAAATTTATAAGTAGTGGTGGTACAGCATCTTTTTTTGTTTTTTTGTGGCTACCCCAACCCTACTCTTCTTTTATATGAAATTGGACATTGTACTTGTTTATTAGCCAAATTTGGCTGGAATTGACCAAATTGACAATTACGTACTACTACTGTGCTAGCTGGGCTCTACTTAACGACGTACTATTTTGTATGTGTTCTACTGGCAGCTTCCAGTACAAGAGTTGAATTCCATCTGATGAAGATCAGCTTACTGCATCTATTGCTTCCCCCTTTTTGTAAAGTAAAGCAGGGTACAGTTGTAACAATAACATGGAAAAGCAGACGCCGCAGCTAAGATTACACTGAAGCAAGCAGCACAAGCCTTTTTGCCTTGTGGCAAAGGTGAAGAAGAAGATCAAAACAATTTTCACTTAGTTCAGACATATGGTGTGAAGTGACAAAAAAAAAAAGACCCACACAACCAAGTTGGTTTTAAGTCCAACTTTTTAGATCAGGCATGGCTACCATTGTGGCTCGGTTAAACAGCATGGTTTGACCTCATGGTTTTATAACCTTTTTTAATCATGGATGCTCTGTTGTATTAAAATTTGTCCATTCTATCTATTATCGTATGTTGTTTGGTTTGTGTCATAGATAAATATTTATACTCGTATTTTGTCCCTAAGTATTCCAAAACACCTTGAAACTCAGTTAAAAGATTTCATTCTGCTGAGTATCTTAGCTTTTCAGACGAACATTTCATCATCAGTTTTTGTTTGGATCAAGTACTATTACAGGTGAAGGCCACAATGATTGATCTCCGAACTTTAATCGAAACCTTAACCTTTTCTTCTAAAAACATGGCTGGGGTCAGGAATCAATAGCCTATCTCCCCACAATCCACATGAACCATGCATGTATAGACAGACGAGTGAAAGAAATTTATCGCAGTTGTAGGGCTGTTGATTTTACATGCGTTGAAGTGGTAAGTTGGTTCTTTGTTAGTTATATGTTGTAGCAGGAACACTGCTTCGAACATTGATGTTGCTCGTTCACATGAATAATGTACGACTCTGCTCGACACAACGTGGGTTGCTTTGCCTTTTGCCCAAGTTGTTCAAATCATTGTGTTGTTGAAAATTCTTTAGCTTTTGCCTTTTGATGATGATATGCATCTGTGTGCAGGAAATGTTGGAGCAATTGGAGTTGCAAGACACAAGCACATCATATAGATAGTGCTAATTAAATGACAGCTGGGGATCATCCCAATTCGAAATAGAAAAGTGACACCAACCAATCACCACAGATTTCGATTACCATATCTAAAAAAATTTCAACACTTTTTGAATGACTTTTTTTTTTTCTTTTCAAAATTGATGACATCTTTATATCGTTTTTAATGCAAAAATACATTGTTCGGGTTGTTTTTTATGAACTTTTATTACATTCTAAAGTTAGAATTTTCGATAATTTAGGTCCAACAGCCTTTTTTCATTTATATTGGTATTCTATACGAAATTTTGCAATGATTTTCTCTTTGTATTAATTATTTTTATGATCTAGAAATCGATAATAATTGTTAGTATAAGTCAAGACAATTTAAGTGCAATGTCAACATTCATTCTGATTGGATTTCACTATCCGAATCAAAGATTGCAATCTGACAAAGAACCTTGAATGTTGGGATTAACAGATTTGAGGAATAGAAAGGGGTCCAAGATTAAAAACCTAATAGATAGAAGGAAGGGAAGACCGCTCATCATAATAAGGAGATTTATGACTTCTCATCTATTTCTCACTCGTCTAATTTAAAGCTTTCAAACTCCAGTACTGAGATCTTAAGATAGCATGAGTCCTTGTATTGTACTTGTATGAGAATATCTAAAAAGGACAGTGGTTGATTACCGTCTTCCTTTTCTCACTTCCATGGTCCAGGACTCTTCCTAGGGTCCAAAGGTAGCTCACAATGGTTGATATTCCTTAGCTCCTCAGCCCTCCATCGATTGATAGACATTTATCACTTATTAAACTTGATATTAACATTATTGTATTTTTCGATTTCTATAAATTCATGCTTGTATATTAAAGAGTTTTAACCCTTTTTTTTTTTAGAGTGATTGGACAAAATTCTATTGTATATTAAAGAGTTTTAACCCTTTTTGCAAGACTATCGTATATTTTTTTAATAAAAAAAAACCACTCAGGCCAATTGCTTTAAAAATCTATCTCCAAAAGGTGGTGTTAGGCCCATTGGCCTTTTGTCCAATCACCCTATTGTGCTCTACGTCGATAATAATTAAGACCTATTCCTTTTACTTCCATTATGACTCTTTTGAAATCTTTTCAGTTGGGGGCTTTTAACCCTCCTTTCATCTAAAGAAAATCTCTCCAATCAATTGCCAACTACGGTCCAAAACCCGCCACTGTTCAAAAGCCTTTTTTCTGCTTCATTTGCTCAACTGTGTCAGTGTGATTTTCCATGAATAACAAACAACAAACCGTCATATAAACAGCTCAAAAATTCATGTGAACTAACAATCAACCAGTATGGTGACAGACTTAACATATATATATATATATATAGACAGAGAGAGAGAGAGAACCCATTGATTATTTCTGATTTCAGGTTGAGGGAAATATACAGCAGCAGCAAACAGGTCCAACATTATTGACAGGACAAAGTTCAGAATTAATTCATGATTATAATTCACATAAACCATCCTCGGATTCAAGGAATCTACTAACCCATTCAGAAGTGTAAAGATCGGTGGAAAAATCAAAGAACTCATCAACATCAAAGCTGAAGTTTGAGTCCTGATCATGACCACCGTTAGAGGAGAGGTTGTTCTTCTCTTTTCTCACCTCTTCATGATTAACCGTCTCTATCACCCTTATCTTCTCAGTCCTGGACCTGGTGGAGCCATCTCTCTTTGAACCGCCACTTTGTTTCTCCTTCTGGCTTATTTTCTTGCTCAAATAAGAATTCCAGTAGTTCTTGATCTCATTATCGGTTCGACCAGGTAATCTTCCCGCAATCAACGACCACCTAGATGATCAGAACATTTAAACAGAACAAATCAAACTCTGAAAAAAAAAACTGATATCAAAATAGATTTTACAATTTGGAGTTGATAAATGACCTGTTTCCTAGGAGCTTATGAAGCCTAATGATCAAGTCTTCTTCTTGGTCTGATATATTCCCTCTCTTAATGTTGGGTCTCAGATAATTCAACCATCTCAGCCTGCAACTCTTACCACAGCGATTGAGGCCTGCAGATCAGTAATTAAACACTTATCAAACTTAAGATCAGACACAGTAACTGGAGAGCTGCTTGTACACACACACATATAGATATATAGGTGTATGTATATATCATTGCATAATTTTTGTTCTTTTATAGTCTCAACTTCTGAGGCATGAAAAATGACCTGCTTTGACTGCAATGGTCTTCCACTTCTTTGCACCATGGATTTCAATAGATTCAGCTAGTTTTCTATCTTCTTCAGCTGTCCATGCTCCTCTGTTGATGTCCTTCTTAATGGATTCATTTGCCACAGAAGCCATTAGCTTTTCTTTCTTCTTAACTGACCTGTCTGCCAAAGGAGCCATTGGCTACAATTTCTTTCTGTATCACAGAGAGAGAGAGAGAGAGAGAGAGAGAGAGAGAGAGAGAGAGAGAGAGAGAGAGAGAGGTGGTATATTTGGGAGTGCGGAGCTTTGTTTTCTTAGAGCCAGTGGAGTCCCGATGGGTCCTTGTATCATCTACCCTTCTTGGAGCATGGAAATAACTCAACTACCACACACACACATATACATATGTATATCGAACTTTAGTGAACTTGATGATTGAGCAATGAGGGAGCTTAAAAAGGTAGGATATATAATGCTTCATGCCAGTATCACACAATGGCTGCTAAAGAAAAAAAAAGGTTGAATAATACAATGGTGCACTTACAGATGCTTTTAGAGCAAAATTAAAGAGAAAAAGAATGAGTGAAGGCATGGATGAGAAAAGGCCCACATTATGTTTGGGTATCTTAATTGAGTAATGCTATTTTGACTTAAAAAATTTAATCTAATTTATTAATTTAATGATACAGTTTTAATAGAATCATTGAATAAATATCAAGTTTCAATGTTTAATGAACCTTATAGTCAATACAAATGTCATAATAAATTAGATTAACAAATTAAATTAGGTCTTAATGACAGTGCTCATGTTAATTTAATAATGAATCAGGTAGAACAGGCTTGTAATTTAGTAAATGGAGTTTTCTTTTTGATCTTATGCATATGCAATTTTTTGGGGGTGAAGGCTGGCAACCATTAAGCTTTTTGCAGCCAAAAAGAAAGGCTACTGGCTACACAAAGGAGATTAATACAAGGAATGAAACAGCAACTCACAGTTTTGTCTTTCACAGAATTTTTTTTTCAGAACCATGAAAAGAGCACACACTCTACCCTCCGTGCTACAAGGATTATTGAATTGTGATTCACTTAAATACATTTTACTTTTATCTTTTTGTATCGACACTGCACTTCATTTATCGTGAATTCATAAGACACTTATTATATATATAAGTGGAACCCTCATCGACGATGATAATTGATATCATCAAGGAAATAGAGATAAAAGGTAGTGAAGAGATTATGACTTCAAAATTATTAAGATTGATTGGATATGCTGCATATTATATCTATATAATCCATGGCATTTGTCTAAGATTGTTGTAGATCCTCACATAACTCTATGATGAATTATTGTATTGTCATAACACGTGGGTACGTTGTCTTGGATTGAAAAAATGAGTGAAACTTTTTATTTTGAAGGGAATTTGTTGAAATATAATTGAATATAAATAATGATATAAGTGGGTGATATATTTTATTTTTATCTTTTTATTTCTTCTCGTTATAAATAGGTTTTAGTTTCTTATACGTAACTAGCTAACAATAATAAGGAAAAAAATTATTTGAATATAATATTTTGAGACTTAATTTAATATAACTATTAGATTGAGTTAAGTTTCACCTAACATTAGAATACGCAGTTAAATCAAGAAGTTTTTTGGGGCTCTCTAGCAAAAAGTTTTTGAACTTTAAATCAATGTTGTTGACGATATTGGTCGAAGCCACTAATAATAATAATCTTTAATTGACTAATGAAAGATGTGCTTAAGTGATCAAAAGAAAACAAGAGCAAGGTGTTGTCAAAAGTGAGAATTAGGTTTGGCTCTTTTGTTTTACAATAAGGGTTAGGTTAAATCAACTGGAGGAATAGCTACCCGAATAGATTAATGGTATCTTCTCATGCATAAACAGTAAAGAACGGATACTAATCGTTGTCAATTTAGGAGAAGTTAAAAAAAATATATGGTAATCAATTTCTTCAAAGCTCCCTTTTACACTCATACACCCTGCATGGACACTTCTATTTTTCTTCCCGTTTGCCTTTTGAAAAATAAAAAATCATTCCAATTATGCAATTTTTTTTCCTGAATTTTCCTTCTTTTGTTCTCTTTGGTCAATACACTCATTCAAGTGTCTTAATCTGTAAAAACTTACCACACTCATTTACGTCATGATGAATATATATATAATAAAATAGTTTATAATTCAAATTTAAAAAATAAATAAAATAATTTTTACTATTCGCGGCTAAGGTCATTTTAAATTTTACTTTAAAGTTAATCTAACGGCTAATATAAAAACTCCAAATTTAATAGGAAAAAATAGATCCTAAGGGTGTGTTTTTGAGTACTTTTTTAAAAATTATTTCTTATAAATACTTTAAAAAAAATATATAATTTTGAACCGCTCCACCACTACCACCATCATCACCGCCGCCACCAGTCACCACCAACACAATCGTCGTCGCCGTCACCACCCCCACCACCACCGTCACCATTCCCACCATCGCTGCCACCACCTCTACCTCCACCGCCCCCACCACCACCTTGCCACCACCCCTTCCATCTCCATCGCCACCACCATCACTGCCACCGCCACTATTCCCACAGTCGGCCCCCACCACTACCACTATCACCATCGCCCTTGTCCACCGCCACCATTATCATTGTCGCTGCGCCACTACCACCACACCACCACCACCGCCACCACAACTATTACTGTCTCCTA